ATCCCTAAGAAGGCAATCAGAAATCACTTCCAAAAATCCTGCTAACAAAACTGCAGGGACTTTTCCATGCAATTGTCAAGATTGACTCAAAAGCACACCCAGTCAAATTACATTGCATTGGTCCAAATCCCAAGAATTCTAAACGCTAACTTGTTTATATTGTAAAAGTTTTCTCTCCTCCATTCCTTATTGAATTAGATTTCCCAAATGAAACAATACTATAGAGCAGGCCTGCAGAACTTGTATGGAGGAAAAATGACAAACTTCTCCTCCGTACAAGTTGACAAATTGCGGGCTGCAAAGGTATTCCTTTGCATCCCAATCAGTTCTTCAGGGGCTACTAGCACAGCAGCAGTAGTATTGAAGCTGGTGGTAACAGCAAGACCTGGAGGTCTTACAGGCACTTAGCAGTGCATCTTGGGGGGGGGAGATTATTGACTTAAAAAAGAATGCTAGAGGTCTGCATGTTGTCCAGATCCCATGATGATACAAAGCTAGCAAGTCTCAAAAGTGCTTTTTCAAAAGGCAACTGGACTATGTTTTTATCCTTGAGGAAAATGTTTCGCTTCTCATCCAAGAAGCTTCATCAGTTCTTACTGGATGGGGGGGAGGGGGGAGAAGATGGAAGGATTAGTTCCATGCCCCCCACCACCATCCAGTCAGAAATGATGAAGCTTCTTGAATGAGAAGCAAAATGTCTTCTTCCTCAAGGAAAAAAAACAGTCCAGTTGCTTTTTTAAAAAGCACATTTGAGACAACCATGACCTTGATGACCGAGAATCTCCATAGACAAAGCTGGCAAGACTATATCTATTTGTGAAGAATGGCTCAAATTTATTGAAGTTGTACAAAAAGTAACTTTTACTGTTACAGGTAGTCCTCAACTTACAGCCGCAAATGAAAGTCGTTGAGCGAAGTGATCATTAAGCGAGGTGTCATGTGAACCTTTGCTCAACAACTACAATCCCAGAACTCCTAGTTGCAATCATTAAGTGATCCTGCAGATGGAAGTCCAAGCTAAGGAGGGGGGGTGCCTCGGGGGGGAAGAGAGGCCCTGGAAGGCCCCTCGTAGGCTGTGTACAAAGTGGGGTTTGGGGCTGCTGAGGACAGGTCTTTCCTCTATGAGACTGAATATTCTACTTAGATTTTGGCAGGGAAGATTTTCAGCTCTCTGGAGGAGATAAACAAAGTCGAAAGGAAAGCTGGCAGGAGGTAAGAAAGGGTGATCACTATGGTTAACAACTGCAACTGGAGAACTGCTGTCGTAAGTTGGAATGGCCAATGGTATTGCAGTTCATAACTGCATTACGGTGGCGCAGTGGTTAGAGTGCAGTACTGCAGGCTACTTCTGCTGACTGCCAGCTGACTGCAATTTGGCAGTTCACATCTCAACAGGCTCAAGGTTGACTCAGCCTTCCATCCTTCCGAGGTGGATAAAATGAGGAGCCAGATTGTTGGGGGGCAATATGCTGACTCTGTAAATTGCTTAGAGAGGGCTGTAAAGCACTGTGAAGTGATATATAAGTCTAGGTCCTTGATGGCGAACCTATGGTACACATACCACAGGTGGCACACAGAGGCCTTTCTGCGGGCATGCAAGCCATTGACCCAGCTCAGCTTCGCCTCACATGCATGCACGCTTCCTGCCAGCCAGCTGGTTTTAGGGTCTCTACCACATGTGCCGGGGGGGCAGGGCGCATGTGGGAGAGGTGCACGCAGGCATGGGGACAAAGTGCATGCATAGGAGTCATGTGTGCATGCATGGGAGGTGGGGAGCATGTGGGATGTCATGCACGGGGAGGCGGGGTGCACATGGGGGTTGCGCATGCATCCGCAGGGGGGCAGGGCATGTGAGGGGGTCACAAGCACATTGCATTATGGGTGTGCATGCGTGCTTTCGGCACTCGGTGCCGAAAAGGTTAGCCATCACTGGTCTAGGTGCTATTGCTCTCACTAAGCAATGGTCCAAATTATTGTCATTAACCAAAGACTACCTGCACCATGATTCCGCTGTTATATCTTCTCCAAGCTATACTGCCTCCAATCCCAAAGATGCTTTTTCCAAAAGGCAACTAGACTGTCTTGGTTTTTTCTTTGAAAAAATTTTGCTTCTCATCCAAGAAGCTCCTTGGATGAGAAGCGAAACATTTTCAAGGGAAAAACCAAGAAAGTTCAGTTGGAAAAAGCATCTTTGAAACAACCATGACCTGGATGATTGGGAATTTCCATGGTCATTTAGTGCCTCCAACCATTTTGCATTCATATTTCCTTCCAGGTTTCTTATCATCCCTACTCTAGATGCACTCTTAATGTCAAGATTCCTCTGAATATTGATACTGTTGTTTATTATTGCTTCATTTTTTTATATTGTGGCCAACTGTTATAAATTCTCATTGAAGTTATTTATAAATACATTAAACAGCACAGAACCCAGAATGAAGCCCTGTGCAATGTCATTCAAATATTTATAGGAATATCCTCAACTCCACTAGACCAACCAAAGTATTCTAGACTTCTTCACTCTCCAAAATAATCACACACTAACAGGTAAAGGGAGAAAAAAAATGTTACCCAATCCTTCACAATTTGCTACAGACTGCAACTCACTCAAACACAGTTTCAATTAAAATATTTGCTGGGATGATTTTTTAAATAGTTCATCTACAACTGTGAAATTACATCTCTGAAAACTTAAAATACTGTCATCTTTCGACCATAAATAAACATAACATGCTGTCCAACAATATCTTGTTTATTACTATTATTCCATCCGGCATCTGGAATAAATACAATATATTTATATTCAAGTATTATTAAGGCTATATTTAAATAAAAGAACTGTAAGACTCTGTTATAAAACTGTAAATTCTCAAATTCTCCATGTACAGCTTAAATTTTAAAGAAATTTATCCAATGAAAAAGAGGATACACTTTCTAGTAACATAATTACTTTTATTTTCCTAGAAGATATTTACTGCCTTAAAAAAATCAAAATTCACTACAATCCGGATACATATTTCAGACATCATAAAATGACATATCAGATAGTAAGAATGCCTTTTAGAAATCATACTAGCTCTAGATTAAAATGACGGTCACCATTACACAGCAGCCATCTGCAGCTGTCTTCCATATCTATTTTGTTTTTATTTATTTCAGTGGGTTTTTATTTTATTGTTTATTTTCAACAACTGCTTCCTGGTCCAAGTGCTAGTAAAAATGGTAGCACAAAAAGGGGGAAATGCTTCATATGCCTGTGCTCAGAAAACTAAGGAAATAATTCTGCATGTATCGCTAATCCATCAAAAGAGATTATTGTACAAAGGAAATATTTTTAAAAGTCAACAGCCAGGCACTGAGCACTGTTTTAATTATACATGCGCACACTTTTGTACATACTTATCTCTGGGCTTCTTTTGGAAAGTGGAAAATAATGTTCCCTAATTATCAGAAATCCCCAGTACAAAATACTCAAAATGGAAAAGAAAAGGGGAAAAAAAGAAGGTAGCAATGGATCCAAGGAAGCCAGAGAAGGCGGGAAACCTCTAGTGCTTGATATAAATTGGGGAGGGGAGGGGAAGGGAGAAAAACCAATCGAGCCGGGGAAAGAGCGGTCTAGAAAGTTTCTGCCAACAGCAGCTGAGATGCTTCATCACCAGCCTATTTTCCAGACATTATGTTTCATATGGCTTCAAGGGTCACATGACAGCTGCAAACTAATGCCTTGAGGTCTGTTTCTGCCTCTCTGTGACACTGGCAGGCTGTGAGAGACTGCAGAAAAGAATGTTCCCCCTTTTTTTCCATTACATCATGCAAACCGGTCCCGGGGGAGAAGGGAGAGATTCACAGCTGGTGGCAGCTGCAGTACCATCTGCTTTAGTTTGCTTGGCAGATTCCTACCGAACCTCTTCTGGGGAAGCATGCCTGTATCTCAACACAAAACACCCCATTGTGCAAAAAAAAAAAAAAAAGGATATTTGCAGATTGTGGAGGAGTGAGCTTTTCGCTAAATGGTCAGAAACGGAGGCATCAGGTGAGGATTTCTGATCCCAGGAAAGGAGCCTGCCACACAGAAGACAAAATTGCTAAACACACCATGCTTACGGGAGAAACAAGGCCAGTGCCATAACCTGCCATCTGCTTGCCACAATGCCAGGATGGAAAAACTACAGTCAGCAATAATTTTGAAAAGGGGGGAAGTGAAAGAGGAGGAAAAAAACAGTTTACGCCTTCAAAGATAGAGATTAGCTGGAGCAACTTGGGAAAAAAACTGAAACTAACAACTTAGCCCTAGATGGGAAAAACTTCAAATATATTTATGAATACTGTCAGCACATCTGATAATTTATGGGAGCCCCAGCTGGAAGGGAAGATTTTGCAGTCACTCACTGTGATAGTCAGAGAACTTCACCATAAACGAATAGCAGAAAAATGGTTTTATCCAACTCCTTTATTCTTTGTGATATTTATCGCCAACCACTAAGTTGCATTTTAGTTGTGAAAAGTGCTTTCCATATTTAGTAAGTATGAATGCTGTTTGCTTGCTTGCCTTAGTCATGTTACACTCTTGGAATATGTTTAAACTTTTGTGGAAGACTTCAGAACTAATGCAAACTTTCTACTTATCACTACACAACACACAGTTCAGTGAGGTTTTTTTTTCTTTTTAATCTAATTACAGAGGAACAAGAAGTGGGGGAAATTGAACAATGCAACAAGCATGAATGATCAACAGCAGGCTGTCCTTATAGCCATAATTCATTTGTTGAAAAAGCAACTTCCCTGCAGTAAAATGGCTAGGATTTTGGAGTACATGTACAACAGATGCACCACAAATGAGTTGTTTCGGTTCTAATATAAACAACAGGCAAGACCTCTGATTTCAGCAACACATCTGTGAACTCCCAACACTTCTGAAGTATCTCACGTCTCTAGACAAGAAGCTTCAGGCAATGTTTACTGCGCTGTTTTCAAAACTGTCTGGATTTGTAATGACTTACCATACATTTTGCCTTCATCAGACAATATGATTTTCCTCCTCCCACAAGGGGGATATATAGCTAGGGCCTCCTGAAAGCTCTGCTCAATATCTGGGCTCCAGACCCCTTCTGCGTCATTGTCAATAGGTTTATCTGCAGAATCACTCATTCTTTCAATGTCCTCGGCAGGACTCTCGCTGCCGCTCCAGCTGCTGGGCTCAATGATGGTGGCTGGTTGGTCCAAGCCTTAGCCTGGAAGCTTTAAGAGAATTAACCTAAAAACAATAAAGAACAGTTTCAGGTGAAATTTTCTTCGTTAGTTTTAATAATCGATAGAACAAAAGCACAAGTGGTACTCAGAGATGTTGGAGAATTAAAGAAAATGAGTCAAGTTCTATTCTTAAAGCAACAGGGGGAGGCTAGTATTCATTATTTCTGAAATTAATAAGAACTGTAATCAATACACATAATATTTTGGAATATACTGATTACACTGAATAACTATAATGGGTTCTAGAAATTTAGAACTACTCCCTGTTAGAAAAAGGAAATATTTGTTTTAAAATGGGAAATTTGTTATTTTAATTCATCTCAGACGATCAAGGAATTTTGACACAAATGGAAAACCAGTATACTGCACTTTCTCTATTTTGCCTCTGAATGGCATAGTTTGCAACTGAAGAAACAAAAAAGTGACTAAGCCATTGAAAATAAATCATATAATAGAGATAGTAATAACTAGACCAGATTTTTTTTTTTATCAGCATCAACTACGGAGCAAGAGATGGCTCTTCTCTCAGATGCGCGATCAATTTATTATGAAATAATCTAATATGACAACACCTGCTAAGTCCACTCGACTCACAGACATTTCATTGCTTCTCTTGTATTTGTGGAAAATGTACTGCTGATACAAAGGTGTGCTCTAGGCAAAAATCTGCTCTACCAGTAGGCCATCACAGTGGTAAGCCTGAAGAATACAGTGCAGAAGCCCCAGGAATGGATTTATCTCAACCTGCTGAAGCATTGCTGATTCTTATTAGGGACAAATCACACATGGACAGACTAAGACTACTATAAAAGATAACTTCCAGAAACTTTTGCTCAACTGTTCACATCCTTCTTTTTTAAAAAAACAAAATCCAGATGAAAGATCTAAGAAAAAGTAGTAAAGTTTTTTTTCCCCTCCCCTTCTTTTGCAGAGGAAAATATGGAAATAAACCAAATCATTTGTTTAACATTGCTGCATATTATGAATTAAACCCTCCGCGAGTGATTTAGATTTGCCTCAATGAAGAGGCATGCCCTGGAGAAACATAATTCTCACTGAAGCAGAGATAAATTGATTTGCTCCAATGAAGCCCTTTGTGTTCTCTTGGCATTTCAATTCCCCACCTGCCATTTGCCAATGTCAGAAGCAGCTTCCACGTGCCTGTCCCAAAACCTCTGTGGTGAGGGCAGACCAAAGAAGGTGGAGCAATGTTTTGAGGAGGTAAGCTGTAAGGGGCTGCAAAACAAAGCAAAAGTGGCAAGCACAGCATGCCCTCCTCCTCCTGGGTGAAAACTCAGCAACCACCTCCTACATGGGTGAAAGGACAGCTGCTGGCCACAGCAAGTCTCCTGGGTACAAATTAAGGTCTCGGGAGCTGTACAGAGTTTTAAACAAATTCCTCATTTTGGCAAATGCTGATATTTTACAGATGCAAACATCCGCTTTTGTGACAAATAAATAGCTTCTGTTTATTTTCCCGAGAACTTGGTAATTAATCACTTCAAGCTCAGCTTTATGTATGCAGAGCCTACTGCATTTTAATCTGGAGTGAATCACTAGTATTGTGCAAAAGTAACCTTTGTATCATCCAATGTTTAAATGTTTACACATTTGTGAGTAAACAGTCAATATTAAAACATTTTTATGTTAAATTTCAGAGTGTTTTTTTTTTAAAGTATAGCTAAATAGCTTATGTACACTACAACTTAAACCAGGTGGGTAGCTTACTTGAATATTTTTAATACAAATTCACACATGCAAGATCATAATGTACACAGGTGAATTACATGCATATTAACTGGATTTAGTTTCCAAAACTGGAAAAAAACACTCCCTTCAAACACTGATCTAAACAGCTTCAGCTAATTAATTTGCAGGAGAGAGCCTCTGATCATAGCAGAAACCTGACAATCTTTAAAACAATTTTGTTTTTCATTTACTGCGCAATCCAAGTATTTTCAAAGCATCTAATGCCTTATTATCTTTGCCTCTATAGTCTTTTATTTCTGCCTTGGCTCCCCCCCCCCCCCCGCTCTTCTGACATTGTGCATGAAATATTTGGGTTCCTAGATGTGCAGGCTACTTCTGGAACTGCAAAACATTCATTTTCCTTTTGCAAAGAGATCCAGTCCATTCTCTATCATTTCTTTTGTATATGTTGCAAATTGGACCTTTATGAGAATTTGGGCTCTCAATTCTACATTCAGTTCAATCCCTGGATTGAATCACTAATAAGCTATGCTTTAGTTACATGCAAATTGCTGGGGCTTGGCTTGCTAATAATTAACTTACCCTGTTTATTTTAACATGACTTAGTCGATATGTAACCTATTGTTAGCCAGGCAGGTCAAACTAGCTGGTAAAAATAGCTCAGTTCCCATTGTTTGCAATCAGAAAGGACAGAAAAACAGTTTATCATCCAGATCACTTTTGGGTTGTTTTCAGTACAGTATATCTGGGGAGGTAACATACCCTTTTTATCTGCATTAATTCCTTAAAAAATTGATTAGGTGGGGCAGAGGAACTTCAAGGGCCATCACTGCTGAAAAATCTGTTCCAAGTTCTCTACAACTAAAAACTTTTTAAATCATTGCCAAAACTGAGGCATTCTCACAAAAGCAAAATTCTATTTTTTAATGCTGAAAGATTTATGCAATCTGTGTTCTTCTGACATTGCATTCCTGTTACATTTCCTTCAGGGGCGGGTTTCACTACCGGTTTGCTCATGGGCGCGCGTGCGCTCACGTGCGATGCTTCTGCACAGAAGCTCTGGGTGGGTGGATGGAGCCTGCCGCCGCCACCGCCGCTACCAATTCATCCAAACCGGGGCGAACCAGTAGCAACCCACCACTGATTTCCTTACATTTCAAATACAGAAGGCAGGGCGGAGGATTTCGGACAATATCTGTATGACAAAATCACTCAGATCCAGGGGGAGTTGGACTCTGACTGGGTAGATTCGGGCAGGGTGACGAGGAATAGTCTTGAGAATGTTATCTGGGAAGAGTTTGACTCTGTGACCCCTGATGACCTGGACAGGATTCTGGTGAGACTTAGTGCGGCCACATGTTTACTGGACCCGTGTCCCTCCTGGTTAGTACTGGCTTCCCGGGAGGTTACACGAGGCTGGCTCCAGGGAATTATTAACGCTTCGCTGAGTGAGGGTTACTTCCCCACGGCCTTGAAAGAGGCGGCGATGAGGCCTCTCCTCAAGAAGCCTTCCCTGGATCCAGCAGTATTAGCCAACTATCGTCCTGTCTCCAACCTTCGCTTTGTGGTGAAGGTTGTTGAGAGTGTGGTCGCACGACAGTTTCCTCAGTACCTGGAGGAAATGTCTTATCTAGATCCGTTCCAGTCGGGTTTCAGGCCTGGGCACAGCACGGAAACGGCATTGGTCGCATTGGTAGATGATCTCTGGAGGGCTCGGGACAAAGGTTGCTCCTCTGTTCTGGCCCTGTTAGACCTCTCAGCGGCTTTTGATACCATCGACCATGGTATCATGCTGCACCGGTTGGAAGAGTTGGGGATGGGGGGCAACGTGCTACGGTGGTTCTCCTCCTTTCTCTCCGACCGGTCGCAGTTCGTGTTGGCAGGGGGGCAGAGGTCAACCTCGAGGCCTCTCATATGTGGAGTGCCTCAGGGATCAGTTCTCTCTCCCCTTCTGTTCAACATTTATGTGAAGCTGCTGGGCGAGATCATTTGGGGTGAAGTATCATCAGTACGCTGATGACACCCAGCTGTACATCTCCACCCCTGGCCACCCCAACGATGCCCTTGAAGTAATGTCCCGGTGCCTGGAGGCTGTGCGGATCTGGATGGGGAGAAACCAGCTCAAACTCTACCCTTCCAAGACTGAGTGGCTGTGGTTCCCGACATCCCGATATAGTCAGATGATTCCATCTCTGACTATTGGGGGCAAGTCTTTGGCCCCCTCGGAGAGGGCCCGCAATCTGGGTGTCCTTCTGGATATGCACCTGTCCTTGGAGGAACATCTGATGGCTGTGGCCAGGGGGACTTTTTGTCAGGTCCGCCTGATACGCCAGTTGCGGCCCTTTCTTGATCGGGATGCCCTGCGCATAGTCACTCATGCCCTCGTCACTTCTCGCCTGGACTACTGCAACGCTCTCTACATGGAGCTCCCCTTGAGGGGCACCCGGCGGTTCCAACTGGTCCAGAATGCGGCCACGTGGGTAGTTATGGGAGCTGCATGGCGCTCCCATACAACACCTCTCCTGCGTGAGCTGCACTGGCTCCCAGTGGTCTTCTGGGTGCGCTTCAAGGTGTTGGTTATCACCTTTAAAGCGCTCCATGGCATAGGACCTAGATATCTTCGAGACCGCCTGCTTCTACTGACGGCCTCCCATCGACCTATGCGCTCCCACAGAGAGGGCCTCCTCGGGGTGCCATCAGCCAAACAATGTAGGCTGGTGACCCCCGGGGGGAGGGCCTTCTCTGTGGGGGCACCCACCCTCTGGAACCAACTGCCCCCAGAGATAAGGAGAATCCAAGACCTCGGTGCCTTCCGCCGTGCCCTTAAAACCTTCTTTTTTCAGCAAGCCGGGCTGGTTTAACTTTTTTTCTTAATTTTTTAAATGTTTTAAATGGGTTTGTTATTGTTCTTAAATTACGGGGCCAAATTTATATATATTCTTTTAAGACTGTTTTAATGTTTGTAATTTATGTTTTTATTCGGCTGTACACCGCTCTGAGTCCTCAGGGAGAAGGGAGGTATATAAATTGGATATAAAAATAAAATTAAAAAACAAACAAACAGAGAGACAAGTCCAGTAAAGCATAACTAAAAGTTGTATTTTCTTACATTTTCACTGGAACAAATACTTTATTTGACTGATAGTGCCTTTTATGACCTGGTCTTATTACCAGATGCTACATTTGTATCAAACACACAGAAATTGTCTGCAGAGTATTTACATATCATCCTGGCAAACACTTGGCAGAGATGTTCAGCAATATTTAACCAGATGTAGAAAATTATTTCCAATT